TTGTAATATTTCATATCATTAAAATATTTAATGCACAATTTTATGTAATGTATATAATTTTTCTAATTTTTTGGGAGGTTAAATTATTGGGGAACTAAGGCCTCCTAGCCTTCCACCTTTCGTCAATGATGTTATATCTTTATTGTTACGACTATTTTATTTGGATGAAATATGGGCGTCATAAAAATATTTTTGGTAGTACTGAATTTAATATTTTGATGTAACTATTTATACAATTTTCTAAATTTTTGGGGATGAAAATATAAAACTGTTGCCGCTGAAGACCGGTAGTTGTGCTACTGACTTTTTTTTCATTGTGTGGCTTATGCTATTAATTTCAATTTTTTTTCCAGATGTCATTCACATTTTATGTTTATGCTAATGAAAATAGCGTGGTAGGAAATCCTCCACTTGTTGTGAGGGGAAGCAAAGAAACAGGACGTGGTGGAAGTAATGAAACAGGACGTGGTGGAAGTAATGAAACAGGACGTGGTGGAAGAGGACGTGGAGGAAGAGGACGTGGTGTAAGTGGACGTGGACGTGGACGTGATGGAAGAGAAAAAAAATTTGGAGGGTGTAAGTAAAATTAAGATTTTATTTATGAATATTTAAATTATTAAAAATTAAAAATATAAGTTAAATTATTAGTGAGGTTTCTTTGTTCTTTTTTTTGTTTTTTCTGTCATATCCAGAGATTGGATTATGACAGAAAAACCAAAATATATATGAAATGATTCTTTTAATGCTAGACACTCGATTTATCCTAATATATAAAAAATATTAAATTTTTTTTTCTTTTCTTTTAGTTGCATACTTTTTTCAGTTTTGTAATTTTAAACTAATAATTTATAAAACTATTGTTTTACAGCTTGTAACTTTTGCCAATTAAAAGGCCACAAGGCGGCAAATTGTTCTGCTAAAGGTAAATATCTTCTATGATAATACTGATACGACCACATATATGTGATCATATTCCATAACATTATTGTATCGCCGACTAAGCTTATAACGTTGACACAGTGATACACGTATTACTACAGGGGGGCGGACTGCACATATAAACACTTTTGGAATTCACGGCCACTGTGTCATAATACTAATGTTCCAAACGTCAGTTGACTTTTTAACATTGAAACCATTTCTCTATTGATTTATATTTAACTTATATTAGCTACCATCGAAATAGTGTGTGGGTTGCCGTCAG